GGCGCACGGGCTCAAGCTGAATAACAAACAAAATTTCACACACTTCCCGCCGTCGTGACTTCCTGTGTTTATTTACCTAAATTTTTTCGTCAAACCCGGCCACCGCAGTCAAGAGACATGAGCACTTGATATATTCTATTAATTTTAGGGGCCATAATGTTAAGTTTTAACGAAGAGAAGTTTGTAAAACAGCAAAAGTGTTCTATGTGCAGCAAGCAATATTCTCACCACTAAAAAGGATCAGATTACACGAGGAGATAAGGAAAGCTTGACACGAAGAATGCAGTCGCTTCTGTTAGAAAATCTGGTGTTGGGGAAAAAATCTAACCAGCAAACAAAAACAATGAGAACAAAAACGAATTACAAGCCTAAAGCGAACGACAAAGGAAAAGTAAACAACGCCATTATTTTCGAAACGTGGCCGAGTTCAGTATAAAAATAATGAACTAACATTAAATACCGTCGTGCCGTACATCGCATGCCCGGGGGGGGTACTGCCATATATGGGCTATATAGGTATGTGCCGCTGTGAAGGGTATGGTTTTCAAGCAGTTTACTCTAGGATAGGTTATATAAATCAGAGCGTTTGGCTCTAGAATAGGGTATCATTTTTCAGGAAACTGATCAGTTTGTTGAAGATTTTATCTAGACTAGGGAAACAGCTACTCTAGGATAGGGGGATATGGGGAGTTTACTCTAGTATAGGGTATCATTTTTCAGGAAACTGATCAGTTGGTTGAAGATTTTATCTAGACTAGGTACACAGCTACTCTAGGATAGGGGGAATTTGGGGAGTTTACTCTAGTATAGGGTAGCAAAATTCAGCTGAACTAGCTCTGGTAAAGGTTAAGGGTTCCAGGCTCCCAGCGGCACATCCCCACCCAGAAATTCCTAAAGTGCCCCCCCCCCCGGGATCGCATGTCCTTGAAAACATTTCAGATGGCCCAGCGAATCATTCTAAGCTTCAATCCGATAACAAAAAGCCTCGGGAAATTTGAAAGGAGGTTTAAATGATTAAACTGTGCAAATATTTATCAACAATGTGAAACCGAACCGACAGTAGATTTGTAGCTGGACTTAATAATATTCCCGATCGCTTCCTCTGCAAAGCTGACTTTATTCTTTCAAGGCACTTCACACTTTTACATAGCAGGTTTGTAAAGCCACCAGACTGAATCTGAGAACTTTTCAAGAAAATAATCCTTGCAACAGGAAGGGACCAAGAAACGGTCAAATGGGAAAAAAAGGAATTTTATTCCTAAGCAAAATACGCATGATTTCCTCGTTGGCACTCTATCGATAGGTATACCTAGTAAATAAAGGGAAATAAAACCTAAACATAACAAATTCTCTATCATGTTGAAACGTAAATGGTAACTCTATTAATCGCACTGCAAATTTGGTGCCTGTCAAAAGTGAGTCCGGCTGGCCGTAAAGGTGATTTTGGGAATTTTTTTTATCGTTTTCACTAAAAGCCTATAATTATTACCCTGCATATCACATAGGATCAAATTTTTCTAACTCAAAAGTCCCGGCATTGTGGAATTCTCTTCATGAGAACGTTTTATAACGTGGTCAATGCTATAATTTGTTGTGCAAAGGAAGCGCGTTCTTTGATCGTCCTGGTTAATGAATGATTGCAATTTGTCTTGCAAAATTGTGAAAAACTGCAAAATTATAGGTTTAAATAGGGCTAAAATAAACAAATTCTGTCCGAGGTCTGTATGATAAAAAAAAGGGCCTCATAGTACGGTTTTGAATTTTGAACGCGGAGAGGCAGGTTTTCACGTAAGTAATTTAACTGAGCCCGGCTTTTGAAAACCGCAAACGTGAAGTCAAAGCCTGGTGACGTGGTCTCTCGCCACATGCAGTTAGGGATGCACCATTAGAAATGTGAAGGGGGGGGTAGGACTTTCTGGAAAGGCATGTTATTTTTTTCACAACCAGCAGGAGTGCAGGATTTTTTTTTCAACCTTCAAACCCTTGCACGATTTTTTTTTTCCAAAATGACTATGCCCTCTTTTGGTCTTGTTTTACTAGACTGTTTCAACCGCGCAAATGTTTTTTGTTGTAGTGTTCCAACAGAACACGTTTGTTTTAAGTATATTTTTTTCATACTAATTGAGATTTTCTATTGAAATTTGGCGTGTGAAAACCCTGTTCAGGGTTCGCAGCCAATCAGAATGGCGAAACGACTTTCACACACGTGAAAAAAAGCGTTTCGTCCAGTCACAGATGTTTAGTACATAATGTAATAGGACACCTAAACACGTGCAGTGTTAGACATGGACTTTTTTCGCATTGTATGTCAGATAAATCTCTCTCGCTTTCTGGATCTCACTCGCAAAGCCTTGCTCGTTCAATTTCTGATGCGAACCAACTCGTGCGTAAATACCGTACGCCCGCGCTGCCCATGAAGTAATCTATACGTTCAAACGTCCGAACTGAGTTCAGTGGCAGTTGAAACAGCTACACAAGCAGATCAAACGGTGTTTTACCCAAAGTAAAGTATTGCGAAGAAAGAGGAAGAAGAATGCTCTAAAGGAAAATAAAGAAAAACAAAAGAAGAAATTTCAAGCAGGCGAGGACTGGAACACAGAGAAAGAACCTGAGGGAAGACAAGAAACAGAGAAACAGAAAGAAGGAAAGCAAGCATCTCAGTCCTTATCATGCAAGGACTGGAACACAGAGAAAGAACCTGAGGGAAGACAAGAGACAGAAAAACAGAAAGAAAAGGAAGAAGAAGAAGAAGAAGAAGAAGAAGAAGAAGAAGAAGAAGAAGAAGAAGAAGAAGAAGAAGAAAAAGAAGAAGTAAAACTGCAGCCAGCATGTCAGTCTTCATCAGGCGAGGACTGGGATACAGAGGAAGAACTTGAAGAACATTTCCTCTAAATCCTACCTTTTTTACTGCAACTTAGTTTGGGCCTCTACTTACAGAACTAACCTTATTCGTCTTGAGATTTTACAGAAACGAGTGATCAGAACTATAGCTAAAACCACTTTCGATGCACATACTGATCCAATCTTTCAAAATCTTGGTATCTTAAAATTTCATGATATATACTTAATACAACTAGGCTTATTCATGTACTCCTATCAAAACCATACTCTACCTTTAAAATTTCATTGTAAATTTACCTTACAAAGTCAAATTCATTCGTATAATACAAGAAACTCGTGTAAATTTCGTCTGCCTTTCTGTCGTACTCGAACCAAGCAATTTTCCGTTTTTTATCAAGGACCTAAATTTTACAACACCTTAAACACCAACATCATCAACGCTTCCTCACCTTTCTCCTTTAAAAGAGCACTTAAGGCATTTATTTGTAATAATTATTAGTATACTTCAACAAAAATCTTGGAAAAAGCCTTTTAATATTCAACATTTGTACATGTAAACTTCCGTAACATTGATTAGTTTAATTTTTTACCTGATATTATATTGTACCCGTCGCCGTAATTTTTATGCCATCTTTGAAAAATTGTAATTGAGGAGGCCTAATTAACATAAGCTTTATAGTTTCTTTTAGGCCTCCTCGCCATCTCTTCCTATATATATATCTTTTTTCTTTTGGCATCTTTAAGTAATTATTGTAATTGTGTGGCAAATAAATAAAAATACCTAAAATACCTACCTATATGTCTGTGGCCCATATGTTTAGGTTCAAGTTTTTATTAGAATGCACCATTTCTATTTATGGTTTTGCAAAGCATTCAAAATATTTTGTGTTAGTTTGGGTAAATAATATTCTTAATACTTTTAAATGCAGCGGGATCTGCAGTGTGATTGGTGTTTTTGGGACATCTACTTTTGTTTATAGCTGTAAACTTTATGGATTCAAGTAGCAACGCATATTGTACAACACCAACTCCATAAACTTGCGTGCAAGTGGAACTATTGACGTTGTTAACACAATCTCACTTTAATCCCATTAAAACAAAAGTATTTCAATAAAAAAGTTTATTTAATTTATAAAGTTAAACAATTATCACCACAGTCTCTTAATTTAATACTATGGCAGCTATAGAGATCAAGGGCATCAGAGTTGGTTCAAATTGAAATCTCTATTTAGCCAGTAGAAATTGTTTTTTCTGCCTGAAATGTAGTTTGACATGAATTTAGGAAGTTGGGGGAAGGGGATTTCCTGTTACAGATCACAGATTTATTTTTCAGACTGTGTAATATATTGTCGCAGTCACATTGGTTATCCAAGCAGGATATTTTTTTCTGGTTTCGTTGCAATGCAGGATTTTTTTTTCTTAAAATTTTGTTTTGCAGGATTTTTTTTTTTGTTTTTGGACTCCCCCCCCCTTCACATTTCTAATGGTGCATCCCTTAGAGGTTTACCTGAGATGTGATGAGAAAAAAAAAATGTTTAAAGGCTGGTTTACACGCCACCAGATTAGTCGATACGATATACTTGTAAAGTAAAGTTGTCAAACATTAAAAATTCGGCCCGATTTTTTATTTTGGCCTCCCTTATAAACAGAGGAATGCAACGTGTAAATTGGCGGCCACCAATGAATATCGTGGCGCGTGTGTTTCTTAAAATTATATGTATGGTGTCGATAGCTTTCTGAAATAGTGCGACATTGTTTTTGTTTTCTTTTGGTTTTTTATTACTTTGACATTGCGTTACTAGGAGCTGTCAAGTTGACCATTTTTTGATCAGATTACAGATAATTCGCTTTTACTTTATTATAGTTTAAAAACGGAATGATGTATCAAGTCAATCAACGTTGTCGGTTCTTATCGTGAACAGAAACAATGAACAGATGTTACTGATGTATTTTAGGTTTGCATGCTCACGCGATATATTCAGATGTAGTCAACTTTTGTACGGAACGGGTCCTTTTAGGAAATACAGTAGATCACTTTCGAAGGAGTTGGATTTATTACTCATTCTCAACATATGGGTCTGAACGGAAAATTAATCGAACACTTTAGGTTACTTTTACATGGCACCGAATAAATTTTTCGACCGGCTGAAAAATTTGACTGGACACTTCGTTCACACGGAACCGTTCAATATTCTTGCTCTTGACACGTAACTGATGAACCAGGTTGAATTTTAACTTTTGTCGGAGGTTAACCATTTGCCCATGCGCACAGCTTTTCTTTAGCAAATTCAAAATAGCGTCTCCCTCCTTCGCCCTACATAAAAATTAGCCGGTTATGGTTTTCACACCGCGCCGATCAAATTTGCCGTATAAAGGTTTAGACGGTTGTGGAGTTTACATCACGCCGGCTGCCTCGTACCCAGGCGCGTTCTAGCGGATTCGAGAGCGACTGGGATTTTGGTTCCGCTCTAGGTATCACGGAAAAGGCGAGGAGAAAAACGCGCCTCTCATTTTGGCATGCACTAAAATTCTTCCAAAGTAAAAGCTAAAATCTCCAAAGCGGTACAAAAATCATAGGTAAAATGCACTTCACAGCAAAGATCTTACCTAATTCTGTTAGAAAATAAAGTCAAAGGTGCGGGTATCGTTCTGGGTTGGACGTGATCAAACGTTTTTAAGAGCCTCTGTTCGGCATTATTTGCATAGATTTGCCCGCTTAACGGTTCACACACAACGACTTTAATTTAGTAGATGTTATCTCAGTAGCTGAGAATGTTGTTGTGTATCCTCAAAATAACGAAAATGTGTTTTCTTTTCATTAGCCTTTTTAAGTTTGTATCAGTGAAAGCCGAAAAAATACCATAAACTGACATTCTTGATCAACCGTCGGATATGCAAATCGTGCTTGTTTACAGACAGGTTGTCCATTTCAGCTATGTTAAAATCTCAATCTACGTACGGTTATTAAGTTCTTCTCAAATGTAATCAATCTTCAGCTTGGAAACTCAGCAACTGGATACCCTTTTTAAAATAGAAATTTATCTCATATTCCATTTGAGTTTCTTTTTCCGTTTCGAGCATTTGACATCATGATTTGAATTTGAATTCCCACATCCGTGTTTATCCCTCCTTTATCATAAACATGTCGGATTCTCTCACCTCGGGTGACTTTTCTCGTGTACCTCTTGAGAAATTATTACGAATCACTTTAAGTTTGGTGAAGGGTATGTCTGTTGTAATATTTTTCCGAGTGCAGGTAATATTGAACGTTTGTCCCACACGCCTTCAGTCATGCTAATTTGCATTTTTGTCACGCAATATACCTTGAGTATCGATCCCTTTCTTTCCACAAACAAATAAAGGGTGAACCATTACCTTATTAATAGGGGTGGGGAGAGGACGAGTACACCGAGATTAAAAAAGAATTTTACAGTGCTGGAAGGATAATATATATTATACATACAACGAAGTGCCAGAGTGGTGTCCTCATCGATAGTGCTCAAAAACTTATAATTAAGGTGATTTCAAAAACTTATAAGGCGCAAATATCTAACGGTTACAATCAAAGATATAGGTAAAACAGAACAGTAAATACTAGGCGTGGCGCGTGGCGCGTGGCGCGTGGCTCGTCGCGCTGTTTATAATTTGTAAACCTGTAATGTCTACCCTAGACAATAGAAATGAACTAATCTTAGGTTGCAGGCACTCAAAGAAATTTCTACTAAACACTGTCCTAACTTGGTTAGTTCTTGTCGCAAATTTGACATGCTGTAAGCATCACTTAAGTACGACGCACCACGCACCTACGCCACGCCTGGCATTTATTGTTTTGTTTTACCTGATGATTCGCCTTGCAAGAGGCATGACTCTCTGAGTAGCAATAAATGTTCAAGATATAATCCAGTCCCATCAGTCTACTTCTATTATATACATACATATATACAGCTTTATCAAGAAGCTAAAATCAATGCAGCCCCCTAATAAATTTTTAGTCGTCCTCAAGCTACAGAAAATTCTGGGCAATTTTGCTTCTCCGAACAGATATTTCACAGAAAACAGTCGTTGGGTGCCGCTGATATGCATTGGTGACTTTTTTACGTTATTTATGTTTTATTGCCAAAAAGTGAAGTGTCACATAATGATCTTAACTCATATCTATAAGAAAAAATTCTATTAATGAAAAAAAAACTGTCCTGCGAACAACTTTTATCGTTTTGGGGCCCAGTTGTTCAATAGGTGGCCATGGATAGCGCTATCCACCGTGTAAATCACTATCCACTGGATAAAGCAAATGGTTTCCCTAATACTTATCAATTGGACAGAGATTCATCCGATGGATAGCCTAGCCCTACCCAACTTTGGAACAACTGGGGCCTGCTTTTTTACTTGTATTGTAAATAAAGTACTGAACGAAAAAGCAGGTCACATACTTTTAAAGGTTGATGTCAAGTTATAAGTTATTTGAGATTTATCGTCCTATACAAGCATACAACATACCTTGAAATTTAAGAGAAAACACTTCCACGAACTCGGTCTAGAAACAATAGGAATTTTCTAGGCAACTTCGGCCCACCCCAATGTAATGGGGCAATTTGCGGGGTGGTGCGGCAGTAACTGCATTCTTTCACCATGTCTGTGATTGTGTTTATTAGAGCAGCCTTTGTATCTCAAGATTTGAACGACAGTTCAAAATATTCGCAGATGTTTTCACATTGAATTTCGAGAGTACTTCTTGGTTGGTCTGCTCGCAGATATCATGACCATCGTGCCTGATGGGATGTATTACGTCAATCTTGTTGAAAAATGTTAGACCTCCTTGTCTCTACGTTCATCAATAAGAAACGCAATTTCTTCTTGCAAGAGCACTGAGAGCAGATCTCCTTCGTCACAAATTTCAACATTCCCGGCTCTGGTCAGCCCTTTTTTTCCTGCTGATTGCAGACAGTCTGGAAAAGAATGATTGAACT